GAGAAAATGGTATACTGGTAGCATAAATAAGTAAAGGAAAGACAATCTCGACGGGCATGTCTGTAATGCAGCGGGTTTCCCAACCCACCTCAGTAACTGATACAAGAGTCATCTTGGCGAACCCTTGGTAGATCATTTGCTGGGTGGTATCATTGTAGATCCACAAGTTATCCTCGGTCGGAAGCACTAACACCTTCATCATCTCGGAACCCATCTGCACATAATATACACAATGTACCGAATAAACAACCACACACCACGAAGAAGAAGACAAAGGAGAAAAGAAAGGGTGAGTCCATAATTTCAGATCAAAGTACATATAATACATGTAAAAGAAATATTTTATTAGAAGTAAGCATATCAAAGAATCAATGTTGCGTTTAAAGTAAGACAAAACAGAAATCACTAATATTTATAAATGAGCTAATGCATGATGCAAGTAAATTATGAAGGTTACTTCTTCTTTTATAATAATTTCTTGTTGTCATGCAATGCATGGGATCCCATATATCATTTTCCATTCAATTCACTTTAAATCTCAAGGTGATTGGAGGACTCTATTCCTACTATCATATCTAGCACATTCAAAATTTTGTGACAATGGTCAACCTTACACTTCACGAGTGTCGTTCAGGAATGAGCCTATTGCGATCTTAGTAATGGGTATTCATGTTAGGCTTGACAAGGGTTTGTTGGCGACGTGACCCGGTCATAGTAAGCTACTCTGTGCCGTTGGGTTATCCCCCTTTACCACCCTCAAGGTTTGCCAATGAACCTAACACAAACGTCCAACAGCTGTGCCAATTGTAGCCTTAAGTCGTCTCTCTTTTCATATGCATGATCATTCCACGGTTTTTAGTCAGTCCTATTATTTGCCTTTGAAGGTTTGTTGATTAATGTCATTTATACATTGAAATTTCCCATAGCTGAGTCTTTCCTCATTATTTCACCTTACGTTACTATCCTAATTCCACCTGTTTTGAGTACTAATGTCTCAAATTTTATAAGGGGCAGTTGTTAATCACACATCTTATGTAATTGAAATATCTAATACACTTTTAATTTATTAGCATATTAACTTAAGGTTGACTACACAAGAGTATTTAAATTTATTTATTTATTGAGAAGATTAATATTCTCTAAGAATTTTTAAAATTAATTCTTTTATCACTCTCCTCACTATTGTATTATGTTTAGTATCAAGTAAAGGTCTAGTGGGATTACAATCACTTTCGGTTAAGGTGTTTACCAAGATTTCTATTTTCTTTTATTCTCAGTCTTATTATTAATCTCCATGAAATTTCAATTTGTAGCTACAATTTACTTTACTACCTGGCGTCAAAATCCTAATGTCTTATTGGTAGTATATGTGTGTGTGTGTGTGTCCACCCATTGCCATATAAAGTCTAAGGCCATTTTCGACTAGGTCCCACACTATCCATATTCCATCCTAATTTATCTTTTACTTTATTCTTTTGGATAGTTCGCTATGGCCATACTTAAATCTGGTTACTTACGGTTTTAGGGGAATATAAATATCTATTCATATAATGAAACTTTATTTCGTCTTATTACAAGTATATTTACATATAGTTTTTACTTAAAGTATTGCAATATGTTTAATGTACGTCCTTTTAATTGTTTATTATATATATTGTCTCAATCTAGACATCAAGTCTAGGAGTTTTAGTATTAAGTTTTAGTTCTTCGTTTCCAATTGTTCTTAGTTTGGTTTTGTCATTAAGTACTTGTCCTTACACCAATTTCTCAGCTATGTTAGCTATAGTAATTTTTTTTGTACAGAGGAAATAATTAATCAAAGTTAGCATCACTATTCTTATTGCCTTACTCTCTCCGATTTTGAGCTTCAGATTTCAAATTATCATGGTTAATTGTCAAATTGTCCAGCCTTCATCTCACTCTTGCAAGGTTCTAAGAATTAAATTTTTAACTATCACAATTAAATATCAAACGGTCCAGTACTAATCTTGGCCATAGGTAAAAAATATACGAGTTAATTCATCATAAAAAGAAAACAAATGTTCTGTTAAATCAATGTATCCCCTATATAATTTACTTTCATTTGTTCCACACTTTATGTTTTATTTCTTAGTCCCCTTCCTCTTCTTAATGGGGGCAACTTCATTATATTACATGCAACAGGATTTATTTGAACTCAAGTAAAAAATCCAGCAAATCACATAACATAAACTTAACTAATTATGCAATCATAATTCAATCAAAAGTAATGGAAACATCAACAAGGTTCCATACAGTCAAGGTCACCCCCTTACTTGATAGTGAGAATTTGATTGTAGAGAAAGGAAATGGCAAGCTTGAAATGTCACGATTTTACTACACAGAACATGCAGTGAGTGACATAAAATACACAAGGGAAAGTTTATGGAACTAAGATTTTTGAGTATATTGATACGGTGTTTACAGTTGGCTTACCTTTGTATAACTCACGGATTTTTCTCCTTGGCAGAATAAGAAAGAGGAAAATATGCAGAGTGACAAGGGAGGGTGAAAGGAGAAGAAAAGCTTTAACAAAAGACTGAGAGACATATATATTTTATTCCTTTAGTGTGCATATGTATCTTAGTTAGTTTCTCCTTTTGTCTTTCTTTCCTCAGTACTATTTACTTCAGGAGATTTGGTGAACTAACTTGCTGATTTGACGAGACTAAGAGCGGTTGTGTTTGCATTCCCAAAGCCACTAAGACATCTTCATCATTAATGAAGGCTTTCATTTCATTAAGGCAAGGATATGAGGTAGCAGCTGATGGTCTTTTTAGCGTCGAGATGGAGGATTATGCAGCGGCCAGCAATGAGAATAATGACACATCATGCAACATTTAAAGAACAACTTCATTATATTATAAAATCTTACACTTATAATGCTATGTCTACGTTGGAAATCTGTCTCTCCCTAGCATATGTTTGTACATGATCAAAATTTTCAAACCAATAGTGTTATATGGGTGGATTACGCGTGGAGTTTGAATGGATTGCCACAGTAATTTGTAGCATGCATAGATTTGGTGGAGTTTGGAGTCTTGTTGCATGTTATGCAGTCCTAACAATGGAATAATTTAGAAAATTGAAACTTAATTTGAGGATTTTATGGGATAAAAGATGGATGGGGAGTGGCACCACCATTCCTTCCCAGTCATCTAATAACAAAATTTCTGTGACTGTACTTCCTCTTGGAATAATGATAGAAAGGGAGAAAAAAAATTTGTTGGATACCAAATCATACATATAGGAATGTGAATATTTATGAAATCTAAGGTAAGAAGAATAAAGCTTGGGGAAGGACCTTAACTAGATGATTTTAATATCACTTAGGCATAAAATGGACATTAGAGAGAATTAACTAAGATGAACCAAAACTCTAAGCTCTAATATATAGAAAATGTAAGTGATTTTTGGGGTGTTACATATGGTATTCGTTGTGTTCTTCATGTTTATTATGTTCTTCAAGTTCATCGTGTTCTTCAAGTTCTTCATATTTGCCATGTTTGTCGTGTTGATTATATTCATCATGTTTGTTGTGTTCATCGTATTTCATTATTGTTCATCTTTGTTTGAATCTGAAACATAAAGAAGATGTACTGTTCATCAAATCGTTTAATAAGGAAGAAGAAACAACAAAAAAAATGAAAAAATTAAAATAATTGATGTACCTAAAAAAATATTTACATGTTCGTTGTTTACTTAGCTAACAGAGCAAAAGTTTCAGAAACTTAAGAAAAATTTGTATTTGACTCTCCAATTTATGCTATTTCGCTAGTGCGTATCTGAAAATTTGAAATTTAAATTGATTTTACATTGGTTCCCATAAACAACCGATGTAAAATGTACATTTTACATCGGTTGTAAAAATTGATATAGAAAAATTTGCATAAATTTAAAAAATGCCACCATATTTTTTTTACATTGGTTATTTTTACAACCGATGTAAAAAGTACTTTTTACATCGGTTCTTTTGACAACTGATATAGAAAAGTTTGCAAAAATGTCATCGCATCTTTTTCTACCTCATTTCACAAAAAACTGATGTAAAATCTTGTTATAAAAATTGTTTTTTGTATTAGTGCAAAATCTAACTGTGACCTTCTTATGTTAAACTGCACAATTAATATATATAAATTAGTGAAAATTCAATTAAAAAATAGTCACACATAAATATATAGACTATAAAAGCATGCCAAGATACATACTTATCATACACCTATCATTTTTCATGTAAGGAGATTCTCTTTGACATCTTGTAGGTCCATGCATCATATAATTTGATGCAACATTAAAAATTTTGGATACTGAAATGAGTTTAACAATTTAGCATAAACTAAAGAATTAATCATTTCAATTGAATGTAGCTTATCTTTTGCTTAAAACCATAATAGAATATGAGCATGTGACAACTCTCTTTTTAATAATTCAATGATATAAATTCTTGTACGCATAAAAGAAGCTTAGAATATGGTACAACAAATTGTCATATGCCATGCATAAAAACAATATTAACCAATTAGTACCTACAATAACCTATTTTTCTTATAGTTTACCTTTTACACTCTCCTCTCTCTCTCTCTTTTCTTATAGTTTACCCTTTACCAATTGGTATATAAATGTTTTTTTTAATATGCTTTAAAATGAACGAGCCTAACTCTATCGCAAAATAAAAGTTAAAAACTGTAATAATCAAAATTAATAATAGAAGTGATTTTTTTTCCAACTGAGACAAAGCCTCACCTTTGTGTATGATGCATGCGATTTCTTTGTATTGTCTGCTCCCTAAAATAGCAACTAAACTGTCTTGACAAATTCACTGCTGCGACTTTTTGGGATCATTGATACTTTCCAACTTCCAACTTAGAAACATTTCTTCCACAAACATCACTCAAACCTCTCTCTCTCCCCCCTTCCTCTCTCTCTCTCTCTCTAGTCCCCACTAATTTCACTCTCATTTCCTCCATCAACAACACCCATCAATGGCACAACCTTCTAAGTCACGAAGCAACAGGAGGTCCTCTTCATCAACCTCGTACGCATCAACCTTGACAACATTAGTCTTCATCTCACTATGCGTTTTGGGCTTATGGATGTTAACCTCCAACTCCGTAGTCTCTCCCAAAACACGCACAGCCATAGATAACGATTTCTCCTCTTCCACTGAAGACACACCCGAAACCACAACAACAACAACAACAAACATAGATGATTCAACTGAGGCCACAACAACAACAAACACAGAAGAGTCAACTGAATCCACAACAACAACAACAAACATAGACGATTCAAATGATCAAACCACCACAAACAACATAGAAGACTCACCTGAAACCACCACCAAAAGCCAAGACCAAAAGGACACTACCGTCTTTGGAGACAACCCAGGTAATCTCCCTGATGATGCTATCAAAACTGACATCGGAAACAAACAAGAGAGTGGATCGCAAGTATCAGAGGAAAACACGTTAACACAAAAACAAGAAGTGTCCATAACAAACGAAGCTACAGTTTCAGACAATGATCAGAAAATCAACGAGTTTGAGAAAGATGAGCAAAGTACTCATGTTTCTGAAGAGAGCAACACAGCCCAAGATGATAACCCAAATGCAAAACAAAACGAAGAGTCTCAGAATGCAAATGCGGGTGAAAATCAAGAAGAGGTTCAAAGTTTTGACAATCGAGGATCGAGAAACAGGGATGATGAACCAAATGAGCAACCACTAAGGGAAGACAAAATTAGTGAGGTAACGGAAAAAGACCAAAAGCAAAGGATCGAAGATGAGGGTCAAGAAATGGAGAAGCCAAAAGTAGAGAAAACTAGGAGGAAATCGAGCAAAGGTTTGAAGAAGGAGTTAAAGAAATCATGGTCAACGCAAGCAGATGAATCTCGGGGTGAAAAAGAGAGACAGAAGGATGAATCTGGTGGTGCTGAGGAAGTGCAGTTGCATGAATTGAAGTGGAGTCTCTGCAATGTCACAGCTGGTGCTGATTTTATTCCTTGTTTGGATAATGAAAAGTATCTCAAAACTTCGCATAGAAAACACTACGAACATAGAGAGAGGCATTGCCCTGAGGATGCACCTACTTGCCTCGTGCCACTTCCCCAAGGTTACAAAACACCAATCCAATGGCCTAGCAGCAGAGATAAGGTGACACCCACTTTAACGTTGAAAAGAACAAACATTTAAGACATTCATTCCAACATACTTTCAAACATTTTTTTTATTAACATTTATTGAGACCTACAAACTTCTACGTGTCACGAAATGAGATTCCCGTGATTTTAAGTCTTCATAAACTAATAATATAAAATGTAATAAGGCTCTATCCTTTCACCTTTTTGAAAATTAAAAGAGTATATTTATTTAAGTAATTCTATTATTTGAATTATTAAAAATTGACATTATATGTAATATTTCATATCATTATTTTTATCTCTCACTTTCTTTTTCTATTTTATGTACATACATTCTAAAAATATACCACAAATATGAAAGGAAAATACACCTAAAATATCCACTTCTAGTGCTATACAAAACATTTTACTTATTTTCAGTAGGCTACCCATGTATGATGAGTGGTTTCTAATAATTAAAGCTCTACATTGTCTTTCAACAGATATGGTACCACAACATACCACACACTTTGCTTGCGGATGTGAAGGGACACCAGAACTGGGTGAAGTTGTCGGGTGAGTTCTTGACATTCCCTGGAGGTGGCACACAATTCATTCATGGTGCTCTCCACTACATTGATTTTCTTCAAAAGGTAATGAACCTTCGTGCGTAATAGTTAGCAAGGTTGTCAAACAAAGAGCCTACTAAAACTCAAGAAGTGTTTATGAACTTGACCTTGTAGACTCCCTTAAAAATCCCCTATACAAAAAATAATATTTTAAAATATCTGTCTTAGGGCATAATAGTATGCACATATAATTAATAACTTACCATACCCAAAAAATTATTTTTCCCTAGTTAATATAAGTTTAACTCATATTTTTATATCTAATTTCTCTTACATTTATTTTTCACCTTTTTTATTGTTCTCTTTCTTTCTATCAAATCATCAATTACATATTTTTTTTATTGTTTAAGCATAGTTTCTTGCTGGAAAGAATACAATTTCGCACGGAATTGTTGATAGAATAATTTATTTATTTATTATTTTATACTTACAAAATTTCTAATTATTAAATAAAGAAATTTTTTATTTTTTTATTTTTAAGATAATAAATATATTTACCTTTCATTATCATCAGAATTTATAAGATGATATAGCAAATTAAACTGTTGTTGAAAAGAATGATTATTTTATGTTACGCAGGCTGTACCAGAAATTGCATGGGGAAAGCACACGAGGGTGATATTGGATGTTGGGTGTGGAGTTGGTAGCTTAGGAGGTTACCTGTTTGAAAGAGATGTTATTGCTATGTCTTTTGCACCTAAAGATGAGCATGAAGCACAAGTGCAGTTTGCCCTTGAGAGAGGGATACCAGCCATATCTGCCGTCATGGGTACTCAAAGGTTGCAATTCCCCAGCAGCGTCTTTGATCTTGTTCATTGTGCACGCTGTCGTGTACCTTGGCATGAAGATGGTTAGATTCGCTTACCATTTTGCTTTGTTTATATTTGTTATTTTATATTCAATTTTAGAAAAGTGCTGACCTGTGCCTTGAAATTTATTTATTTTATCTTATCTCTATTCATTTATTGCATAAATAAATTTTTAAATGGGTATAATATAAAATTTGATAATACTCTTAATAAAAATAAAATAATTAACTACATTTCTTAGTTCTTATGCAACCTTAAATGATTATTTTTCAAAAAAGGAAGGAGTACTAATTTTTGGTCTAAAATATAAAATATTTGCATTAATTGCTAAATTTATTTCATAAAATAAGATATTTATATCATCAAGCTACTCCTACATTATTTATATAAGAGGACATTTATTTATTTAATATAGGAGTTATCAATTTGAGTATTTATTATTATAGATGTTTTTAGAATACACTATAAATCTATAACGCAACTATTTTTTATTAGTTTTGATGAATTACTTATTTGTTTCTAATGAAAAAATCGAAAGGAGTATTTATTGATTTTTTTTGTGAATGGTAAAACGGTACCGGTTAGCAACACTCTAAATTCTATTAATGTTTCTGTTTTGCATTGATCATGGTTTTTGTAAAATGTGTAAATCTTGTAGGTGGCATGTTGCTATTGGAATTGAATCGTGTTCTTAGACCAGGGGGTTACTTTGTATGGTGTGCTACTCCTGTCTACCAAACGATAGAAGAAGATGCAGACATATGGAAGGGTACGATACATCACATAACATATCTTTGTGCTTCAGAAAGGAATAATTTGGCATTTTTCATAGGCGCTTATATTTTTGTTATTATTCTGTTCTAGAAATGACCTCATTAACCAAGTCCATGTGTTGGGAACTCGTGACCATACAAAAGGATGAATTGAATCAAGTTGGTGCTGCCTTCTACCGCAAACCTATTTCCAATGAATGCTACGAGGAAAGGGAACAAAACCAACCTCCAATGTGCAAAGATGATGATGACCCAAATGCTGCTTGGTAAATCTCTATTGGCAAATTCTGTGTATGTGCATATATGGAGTTGTGTGACATGTTATATGGGGTTTGTCTAGGTTACCAGTGAGTAGATAATTCTATCTTAAGTAGACTAATTGGATTTTGTTTATAAAAAGTTGACACAATTTTTAATACAGGATCTTAACGTTATTGATCCAGCTAAGATAGGATTATTTATCGAATGGGATAACTCAGACAAAATCCTTTTATATATTCCAGAAGTGCATAATAACATTTCATTACTTTTTATTTACCCATTGTACCACAGGTATGTTCCGCTACAGGTATGCATGCACAAGTTGCCAGTTGACAAGGCTGAAAGAGGAACCAGATGGCCTGAACCTTGGCCTCGTAGACTGCAAAAGGCCCCATATTGGTTAAACAACTTGCAGGTTGAAAAACAAGTTTCTCAAGATTTTGCAGCAGATAATGAACGCTGGAATAACGTTGTAGATGAGCTGAGCAACAGTGGGGTTACTTGGTCAAACGTGAGAAATGTCATGGACATGCGAGCTACCTATGGAGGGTAGGTATATATTGATTTAGTTTGGACTAAAAACTATCACATTCTCTTCTAGAATGCCTTACTTTTAGTCCTAATGTATCTATCACACCTTGGTAACTATTGAATCATTACACAATGTGTGTGCAGATTTGCAGCAGCTCTGAAGGATCTTCCTGTTTGGGTATTCAATGTGGTTAACAGTGATTCTCCAGACACACTTCCTATCATCTATGAGCGGGGTCTTATTGGAATATACCATGATTGGTGTGAATCATTCAGCACCTATCCAAGAACTTATGATCTACTTCACGCGGATCATCTTTTCTCTAATCTAAAAAATAGGTACCAATGGAAGTAGTGATTTTTTTTTACATTTTTTTCTCACCTAGAGTTGAGAAACTAATTGTAGCATATTGATTTTATTCTCTTGTTTTGGCTTCTCAGGTGCAACTTTGTTCCTGTTATAGCAGAGGTCGATAGAATACTCAGACCAGGAGGTAATATTATTGTTCGGGATGAATCCAGTGCCATTGGAGAAGTGGAAAATTTGCTGAAATCTCTGCATTGGGAGATAACATCCAAAAACCAAGAAGGGGTGTTATGCGCCAAGAAAGGCACTTGGAGACCCAACTCTTCCGTAAATTTGTTCTGATCAAGGAGACAACATTGGTGATTCAATTTAAGATTTATGTTTTATGACATGCTGTGCATTGGCAATGACATGGGGTTTGGTTTGTCACTGGCCTTCTATGCCACAAATTTTGTACTGAAAACGTCACCCCATTTTGCTGAGATAGATCATTGACGTACTGCCCCGAAATGGAGATGCGTAATACACGGACCCGAAGACAGATTTGTAGTTGTCAATATAAAATGTCATTTCCTTGTCATCCTGTTCAATGCCTGCATTCAGAAGCAGCAGTTTTCTGCATGCAGGATCCCCTGCCCCAGAATTATGTTCTATTTCCCTTACATCACATCCTCTATAGGAGTGTCTAGGAATCCTCATAAACAAGATCTAGCACAATAAATCTAGACTTTAAATATAAGGTATTTTGTTATTATCCAAATTTATAAAAGCTAGATTTTATCTGTACCAAATTTAAAAAGTTCAACTAAAGTTTGTCTTTTGTTGTTTCCTTGTTAATTTTCTCACGAACTCTCATTTCTTTTTATTCTCCTTTTATCTCTTATTTACTGGATTAAAAAAACTGTCATTGACAATAAAAATATATAGTAGTACGAAGTACGAACTACTAACTTTTCCAAATTTCAATAAACCCCATTCTACTTTAAATTTTAAATATTAAAATCAATTATGAATTAGTTTTAACCCTTAGCTTAATTTTGACTCTCTTTTTTCCCATATGAGCTTATGTAACTGATTTCATCTTGTACCGCTTAATGAGAAGTTCGTTTTTATCTTCATCTCTTAAAATTTCGCTCCTTCTAAGTGGAACCCCTTCAACTTCAAACAAGGAAAATGTCATAAAGTTTTTATTATTTCCTTTTTATTATTGATAAAATGCAGGCATTCTTATGATATTGTCAAGTAATTTACTAAGGAATCACGAACCCGTATCAATGTTCAAATAATTTCAATATAATATACCAACTCATGTGCATGTTATATAACGAGCACTAATCCATTTCATTGTTCAAATAAGATAATTAATTATTCCAAAATGAAAAAGAACAAAAAAGGAATCCAAAATTTCATGGTTAAATTACAGGAAACCTGTCAATCATCCATTTGCTGGGGGCAACAATGAGAAATTTGTGAACAAAATTCTAAGATTTGGGCTAGGGATTCTGTTTGTAAAGCTTACCAGATCTCTTAACCTAATAGTACACAACACATTCTTGAATTTCATATATTTGACACGCTGAACCCTGAGCTTGTCATCAACAATAAACCCTGAGATATTGACAAAATTATGTTTCCATTTCAAAAACAAACTGCATCTTATGATGCCCCGGTGGTAAAATCATTTAGTGCAACTAATAAAAGGATTGATGCGTAAGATGAAAAGATGGTGTGATAACAAGATATACAGGTGAAGGCTCAAATTGTGGCAATGACAACCAGCCCCAGCAACAATAAACCATTCACCAGTACAAAAATCAATAATATTCCATAACACAAGGGTTCTAACACCACCAATAGAATCAGTTTTTCTTGAACTAAACTCAATTTTGGCACTATCACATTGTGTGGGGAAGTGAATTGTAGGAGTTCCCGAACCCCAATAACTATACAAGTTATCGGGAACTAACAAACTCCAAATTGTCAATCTATATAAGCATTGGCAAAGGATCCCTTTAACCCATGAGTATTGAGCCAGGGAAGTAAGCAATGCTAAAATATCACCATACTATTTAATATTCATACCTCAACAATTAGTTTCCTCTAATTTCACCGATTCAAACGGGGAAAGTATTATAATGTATTTACTTCAGATTTTTTAATATAAGAATCAAATAAATAATAATTTTTATTAACAATTACAACATTTAATATTATTAATACAAATTTTTATAATATCTCGCAATCAAATAAAGTTTATATACTTTAAAAAAGTGATTTTATTATTATATTTTTAAAAGCAGCACATATATCTAGGATTCAGTGAATCATTATCAAACTCGTGTTCATGTTTTTTTTTTTGCACAAAATTCCGATCCACTGCAGAATTATTAAATAATTAATCACACGAAAAAATAAATATTCAAATCTACATGGTTTTAACTTTTAATTGGCTATCAGTAATACACATAAACAATGTAATGAGGGTAAAAATAAAAGAAAAAGAAATAACATATTAGTATGACAACAAAACCGACCTTGGAATTGTGAATCGTTGAAGAAACAATGAGAAAAGAATGACTCTAAGGTTTGGGGTTAGGACCGTCGTGATTGTAGAGCTTATTATATTCTTCAAGCTCCTCATAGTACACGTCCCAAACGCATCGGACACAACCGCTGCCGCAGCAATCGCCGGGATCTGGCTTCTCCGGCGGCGGAGGAATCTCTTTGGGTGAATTCCCCTTCTTCTCGGCGTCAGGTTTCGATTGGATCGGGTGTGGCGCGGGTATATTGGTGGCTGATGCGCCCTCGGCCATGCGATAGGGTTTGAGAAAGAATGGTGGGGTGCGGTGAAGGCGATTTTTGGTGGCGATAATGTTGAAAGGAAGAAGGTTTTGGGTGAAATGGGTAGGTCCGGCTCTCATCGTCTACGCCGCCGCCACCACCTCATTCTCTCTCTCTCTCTCTCTCTCGAGCGGATTGGGATCAATTGAAGTCTAAGAATGTATGCTGTCGTTTTATGCAACACGGACGCGTTTCAATTGCTGTACGTTTTTAGGTTTGACAACTTTGACTTGATCATTCTTAAAATAAAATTAGAAATTATAAAAATAAAAATAAGATAGAAATATAACACGCGTAACAATGGTTATTTAAATTTAAATATAAATATTTAATTTATTTAAATATTTTTTAATTTTATTTTACATTATTTGAGTATCTTTAAATTCAAGTTGGCAATTAAGTATTTTTTAATTTAAATTTAATTATCATTAATTGAATTTTATTCAAACTCATAACTGAAGTTAAAATAATCTAAATATAATTCTTAATCTAATTACAGAATTAAAAATTGGTAAGATTAAAAATTATTGTTAATTATTTATTAAGAATAATAATAAAATTTAAATATCATAAAATATTCATACTCAAAAACTATACAAAATCTCATAAAAGAATTGAGAATGATAGGTAAAACATATTCAAAATCAATTAAAGACAAAATCTTAAACTTTAATTATTGAATTTGAATTAGAGAATCAATCCTCAGGTATTTAGTTTTTTATATTTTAATTCACAAATACAGAAAAATAAAAGAAGAAGAATACGAATAAGAAGAACAAAAACAGAAATTAAAGCTGAAAATTCAAATCTTGAATTTAAAAATAACAAAAAAATTAAGATAATTCAAAAGGTAAATCACAATGAGCTTAATGAGAGAAAAACTAAGCTATTTAAATAATCCTAATTAAGTTTAATATATTTAATATAAATTCAAAATGTAATGAACTCTTACATAGTAAATTAGGCTCAATAAAATCATACTCTAGATTTGTGTACAGCTATAATAGTTCAACTTGTACGAGCAATATCTTCCATCTCTAAAGTGTTTTTTATATGAAATTACCTATCAAATTGATGTCTTGAAAAATTTCTTTCCAATTAAAAAAAAATATCAAAATTCTATTTGTAACTCAAGATATCATGAAAATAATAAATATAAGCCAAAAATTCTAAAAATATAAAATTATAATATTTTAATATTTCAAATTCAATTAAGATGTTCTTATTAAATGCACTCAATTCAAAGTAATTTAAATATTAGTATTATGTACAACTAAATAAGTATGATTAAAATATGATTCTCTAGTGAGTAATAACAAATTAACTAAATATGATGTGAATTATGTGTTAGTTCCTATTTTCTATTATTCATGCTTTCTAGTGTTACACGACTTGAAATTAGCTTATATGGTAACAAAGTGTGTCAGTTTCTCTTAGTCTATAAAAATGCATTAGAAAGCTATGAAAAAAAATCTTAGATACCTCAAAGACACTAAAGCTTGTGGCTTACTACTTCAATCACCGAAACAATCTTTTTCACTACAACCTTTTGTAATGCAGATTGAGTATATGATCCTAATGATGGGAGGTTAACTTTAGGATTTTGTATGTATTTTGATCCAAATTTTATCTCCCAGTGGTCCAAAAAAGAGAATTTGGTAGCTCAATCTAGTGTAGAGGTTGAGTATCTTAATATTGCCAAAACTATAGCAGAAGTTATCTAGATTTAGTCACTTCTATTTGAAATACATATTATAATGTTCCAACTCCAACAATTTAAACTCTATCCCACAGCTCTATTATTCACTCTCACACATAACAAATGGAGTTTAACCTCTTCTTTATCATAAAAAATTCTCAACAAGAGTATGATTGTTTGTCATATTTTATCTCAAATAAGTATGTTGAAATTATGATAAAATTGCTTACTCTGCTATAGTATATGGAGCTGAACTCCAAACTTAGTATATCTGCAAAATAAATAATTCACTTTAAACTTATACGAGAAAATATTAGTATAAGTGTAGTTTAGATCAAGTATAGTTTATATCAATTTCGTTAAGTGATGGTTGTTTTTGTAATTGTTTTCTATTTCTGTTATAAATATTATTATTTTTCATATGTTGTAATCGAATTAGGACTAGTAATTTGTGTTTTCTCTTTTATAAGTTTCTATAAATATTCATCACCCATTTGAAGTGTATCATTTTTTGTTCATTCAATAAAATCATAATCCACTTAATGCTCTCTCTACACAAGTAATTCTTTACGCCACGAGCCTACGTGGAAAATTTCTCTTAGGCGTATCATTTGGTTTGTTTCGTTGCGTGTTTTGGACATTGCTTATCTTTTATGATTCCCTTGTTCATCTTTTTTTGTTTTGTTCAGTGCATGGGTTGCATGGAATACGATATCCTATGACATTTTCTTTAAATTATTTTATTAGATAAATATTTTATTTTATATAAATTAATCCGGTAAAAATGTTTTATTAAAAATTATATTAGTTATTTATTTTTATAAATAAAATATTATTAATTTATTTAAAACAAAATTGTCTAATCCCATAAAATAATTTAAATAAAAAGTTTATTCATATCAATTCTTAAAAATCCCAATTTAAATACCTAAAAGTAACGAGCTATAATGGGAAAAAATACATTTAATAAATTAAATTATAAAATTGTGATGAAATTTTTTAATACATTATGTATTTATATTTTTAAAAAATATATTTTAACATAATTTTTTAGAAAAGCTTATTATTTATTAAATTTTTAAATAATGTCTCAGTAATACTTAAATTTTGTTATTATTAATTAGAAACTAAAGTTAAAATTTTCTTTTAAAGAAAATATGATAAAAAAATGTTTGGGGTTAGCAAGTCAAAGTTGTGCTCTGACCTCAGCTTTGACACTTGGCAACCTTTAAGGACACGTTTCATCCTCTCTAGCTGTTGTTCATCTTAAGGAACATCTGCTGCTGCTAGGTCCAATTTTGGTTAATTTGATCCTTAAACTCTATGGAGCAATTAGGCATCGTGAGTGAAGTGAAACACCAAAGAATAAAAACGAACGGAGTATGGATACATGTGGCAGAGAAAGGGACAGGACCACTAGTTCTACTGCTTCATGGGTTCCCAGAAATATGGTATTGCTGGCGCCACCAACTCAACTTTTTGGCCCAACATGGTTATCATGCAATTGCACCTGATCTCAGAGGATATGGTGACTCTGATTCTCCTATTGATCCTAGTTCCTACACTGTTCACCATGTTGTAGGTGACCTTATAGGTTTGCTTGACCATTTTGGTGAACAACAGGTATGAGCATCAAATTCCTAGTGTGTGCCCAAATCAGAGAATTTTATAGTTTTTCAATTATTATTATTATTATTAATTTTGGAACCAAATTGAATATAGGCATTTGTAGTTGGATCTGACTGGGGAGCAAATATTGGATGGCAACTGAGCCTGTTTAGGCCTGACAGAGTGAAGGGATTTGTTGCTATTGGGGTTCCTTATTATCCAAGATCTCCTACTGCTAAAACTGTTGAAACTATTAGAAAACTGTATGGAGATGAGAGTCATGTCTGCCAGTTTCAGGTACCCTTACATGCTTGTTTAAATTGGTTCATAAAGAATAAATCTTCATTGGAGAGAATTTATAATTCTAATAATTTTTTTAGTTTATGAATTCATATTTAAAAGAGTTAAGAGTTTATAGAATGCTTATAAAAATAATTTATATATTTGGTAAGTTTTTATTTAGTATATTTTTGTAGCATGAATTCTTACATTATAAAAAAATATTTAATAAATAAATAATTTATTTATTTATTCAAAATTACTCTAAAAATTATTATGAAACTTAATTAATTATAAAAAATATTAAAATAAGTTAAAACACCTGATGATAAATCCATTTTATAGGCTCAAAATGAACTATTTGAAAAGCCTTAAAAAATGATTATAATAATATGCTGTGGATTGGGGTGGGTGTGCAGGAACCAGGGCGAGCAGAGAGAGCATTTGCTAGATATGATTGTCTGACAGTGATGAAGAAGTTTTTGCTGATAACATGGACAGATTTTCTAGCAGCTCCTCCTGGCATGGAGATTATTGATTTCTTGCCAACACCTTCGGTTTTGCCATCATGGATAACTGAGGAGGAACTCATGGTCTTTGCTGACAAATTCCAAGAATCTGGTTTCACTGGTCCACTCAATTACTACCGTGCAATGGACCTGTAAGCATATTCATTACTTTTTTCTGTTTAATTCTTAAAAAAATCCACATTTCTCAAAAAGTAAACAATGGCAACTTCGAATTCTCTACTTTAGTCAAACTTTGGAAAAAAAATGCAATGCGTTGCTTCACAACGCGCTATTGCATTATAAGGTTTTACCAAGTCCAACTGGCAAGAAATTATTACACTTGACTAGAATGGTGATAAATTCACATTACATATTTTACATCAACTTGTGAGCAGAGCATCAATTTTTACATCCTTTGCAAGATAAAAGGACACTGCTATGACACTTATCATACACGTGACAGATCCATTCTGTTAATACAATAAAATTCGACGGGTGTGATTTTTCTCAAAGTTAATCCTACTAATATACATGCTCAATGTTTACAGAAACTGGGAGCTTCTTGCACCATGGCAAGGAGCAAAGATAACAGTTCCAACAAAGTTCATTGCTGGAGCCAAAGACATCGGTTTTGAAAGTGGTGGCACAAAGAATTTTGTGGAAAGTGATATCTTTAAGAGCCTTGTTCCCAACCTTGAAGTGGTTATACTAGATGGCCATCATTTTATACATCAAGAAAAGGCCCAGCAAATTTCAAATGAAATCCTTTCCTTCATCGGTAAATTATCTCTCGATTAGGGAAATCCTAAACAGGTTCCACTTGAGACCCTTTTTTCTCCCCATTGCATCCATATAGTATTAGCGGTTTATAGATTGTTGATGTCAATCCCTTCCTGCTCCAGGTTCTGGCTCCAAGGCGTAGGTGTGATCTTCACAAAATTTATTAGATTGTGATTTTTCATTGGTTTTAATATCTAGTTTCCTTAATTTCTGCAATATTACAGACAAATGTCACCGAGGTGTTGGCAAGATCTTGGGTGTGAATAACGATGCGTATTTTGTGTGTCCGCTTCAAATTTATAGGTTTTTCTAGATGGTAAGTTGTATAATTGTTGGGGAATAAGTGTAGCATTGAATACTAATAAAATAGATTAGATTCTTAAATTGATGATCTGAGTATTATTTTCAATTACTAAAAATATGTGATTTACTTGTTTGAACATAAATAATGAATAATAAAATAAAATAAAATAGCAGTGTGAAATAATTAAATAATAAGATAATTAAAAGATAAAAAAAAATATTTTAATAATAAAATTATTTAAGATGAATTCAAGATTTTTTTTACTTTTATATCTGTTTATATTTATATTTATTTTTAGTTTAATTTTAATTTTAATTTTCTTATAATAGCCAATAACTCGTACTAAATTATTAACATTTGATTTAATTAATTCTTTATTTTATTTTATCATATAAATTTATTAACTACATGCAGTAGGACCACTTAATTATGATATATTAAGAGTTATAAATTTTTAACATATACACATAAATTTATTAAGATAAAAATTAATTAAAAAAATCACAATTATAATTATACACAAAAGATCGCATAAAGCGTGAAAATGATCCACTGTATCCTTATTTATGAATTTACTCACTCATAATAGAGTAAAAAAAGAAAATAATTGTAAATAAACTCATAATCATTTGAAAGTGATATAAACTAAAAGAATCCCAAAGAAAAAAGAGATTAGAAGAGTTTAGAGTATGATTTAATTTTTAAAAATAAATTGTAGTATAAATTTGTATTATAATTTATTTTTAAAAATTAAAAACTATTTTTAAAAACTAAATCAAACATACTCTTAGTCTCTAAAAAGCACTATCAATCAATTACTTAAATTTTAAAAAAGTATCTTACATCTTTATTAATGATTTTCACTCCCAAATAAATAGCTTCAAGAGTTGTCATAAAAGTTCTGAAGTGTTAATGTGTTTCTTCTTAAGGATATAAGGTATGAGGTCTCTTTATATAGAGTATAAGATAATTTAAATAACAAAAGAAAAAAAATAATGATTTGACCTTTCGAGAGATATGTGTTATCTTTAACTCATTTAAATGTGAAAAAGATATAATTTTCTTTTTGTTAAATTTAATATTCAGATTCATATTCAAAGTTCATTTTCATTTTCACTGATTTTTTAAAATCTCCAAATTAGTTATACTAAAAAATAAGTACAGTTAGCATGACTATGCATAGTTATAAAGCATTTTTAAACTAAATGTTAAGTAAGGTCATGCTTCCTAATGTGCATGACAATGTTTTTCATTTAATTTTTTCTAATTTTAACAAAAATACTTTATTAATTCATTGATGATATATTTATGATAATATGCATAATTAATTAATAAAGTAATGTAAAATTCTCATTATGTAAAGGTTGAGCATAAAAAAATAAGTCATAAAACAATATAAAATATAAACTTATCAATAATATAAGAAAAAATATTAATCACCATCAAATTAAATAAAAATATCATAAAACATAAAAAGTTATGTAATTATTTAATATAAATAACAATGTTTTCTTTGTTTATAATTTATATTACTAGAATTGAGAGTTAAATTCTGTAGGAGAATGGCAAACAAACCATCTATTTTATTAATTCTTAACTGTGTGTTGTTTGTCATTTATTATAGTTTCTCGTCTTGATTATTTCTCACAAATGAGAAACATTAAATAGAATGCGACTAAAAAAATACTCCATTAGCATGTCATATTGCATTTAATATATCACATTCCCATTTTCATGAGAGTTAATTAATAAATTCCTTACGTGGACATAAAATTTAGTTTGTTATATAATTCTAATGATCAAAATTTTCTTTTAAATGATAACTATATATATAATTTATGCAGTTAATTCAAAGAAATAAGTTATTTTATTTGCTAACTTTCTTTGTTTTAATTTAATTTATTTTTTATGATTAGCATCAAATATTTTATTAAAAAATATATTAAAAATTATATTTTCTTTAAATAGTTTTATAATATCATCTCTTAGTGAGTGAGTGTACTATATGTTAGTTGTAGAATAATATGATTAGCATATGCTAGTTGTAGAATATCATTTCTGATTCAATTTGAATATTAATCAAGTTAGAATTGTAAATAGAATAAATAGTTTTTTTTTTTTTGGATGGTCCCAAATCATTTTTATTGATTAGTATTTTTTTTTATGATTTATGTTATTTAAATAATGTCAATTTATATTTTATTAAAGTGATAAATATATAAAATATTTGAATAAAATATATACTTTAATCACCTAGTTTATACTTCTTACACAATTTTAATTACATAAATTATATAAAATATTCAGACAAATCATTATCATGATAAATAAAAATATTTTTAAAAAAAGATATTTTAATTATTAAAATTATATAATAACTAAATTTTTGTATCCACTTGATAAAATTCATTAGTTATATCTTATAAAGATTGAAATGTGACATGATAAATACAATTTTTTTTAATAACGTTGAATTTAACATGTTATATTTGTATATATGTGAGAATTAATAAATTTTAATTGATCAATTTTAAATGATAAATTATAATAAATAACACATTATATATTTAGAGACTACATTTATCAATTTCTTCTTTTAAAGATTGAAATAAATGATAAACTACACATTTAAAAAACAATTTTAATATCTTTCAAAAACTAAATTAAATGACTTTTTATCTTTTAAGGACCAAATTGATAATTTACTCATTTAAAAATGTTATGTTCATAATTTGCATAGAAGAAAGACTTAAATTTAAGTCATAAAACAATTCACATAAATTGATGTGTGTATATGCAGAGTTCTCATAATTACAAATATATTTTATATTTAGCTTAAAATTGAGAGTGAAAGATGTCAATTAATTTTAATATTGTATGCTTAGGTCCCAAACTTGATGGAAAACTTGATTATAATTATTGGAAGACTTTATTTAAAAGCTCACAATATTTAAAGCTTTATTGAACTAAATTTACAATAAAGAGTTGATGATGCAACTTAAAGGAGAGACTAGTTGGTGTTATCCCAATTTCCTAAGGTGGAGATTACTCAATTTTTAACAAAATCGCAAATGACAAAATTGTTAAAAAATGCCTAAGACATTTTAAAGTTGTCATATAAAGAAATGGAGAAAGCACAAAAATGTAAACTATAATCCCTGCACAGGGAATACGAAATATATGAGATGTCCAATTTATAAAGTGTTGAACAATATTTTTCTCGTGATACTAGTATTGTTAATAAGATGAAGGTATACGAATATGACATTTCTGAAAGCAAGATGGTGGAGAAAATTCTTCAGATCATGCCAATTAAGTTTGATCATGTGTTGACTATAATAATTGAATCTTACGATACATATATCATGATAGTTGTAGAATTTAAGATGACTACAATAATTGAATCCCACAACACATATATCATAACCGTTGTAGAATTTAAGAATGTATTGAAAGTCATGTGTGTAAAATTTTGGAGAAGACAGAGAAAATGAATGAAGCCTTAAAGAGTTAAATGAACTTTAACAATGAATTTGAAACTCGTCAAAATGTTAAAGGTAAAGGTCATGGTTTTAATAGCAGAGGAAGAGGAAATTATAAAGTTAGAGGTTGAGGAATTGGAGGAAAAGGATGTGACAACTTCAACCAAGACAACAATTTTAGACTACCTAATCAAGGAAGAAGTGGAAATAATTTATGGGTTGTCAACCAAGAAAGAGGAAGAAGCAACAATTATTAAGAAAGAACAAATGTTAGTTTTTTTCAATGTGTAAAGTTCGGACACAAAGCTGCTGGACTGCAAATTCAAACAACAAACAAACATGATAGAAGATGAGTACCAAAATGTTGGTGAAAATTCTAATAACTTGCAAAATTTATTTTTTGCAACTAATAATTTTACAGAAAATGGAAATATAGTATTTAGATATTAGATGTAGTAATCATATGAGTGGCAAAAAAGAGTTATTTTATTCTCTATATGAAACAATAAAATCTACCATGAAATTTAGAAATAATACAAATATTCTAATATTGGGAAAATGTCAAGTTCCTGTTAAATTGAAGGATGACTTTTAGAACTTTATCTTTGATGTTTTTTGTACTTCTAGTCTTCATCACAATCTATTTATAGGACAATTGACAGATAAAGGTTACAATATATAGATTTACCAAGACTATTGTATATTGATTAACAAAAATGGGAAGTTGGTTGCCAAGGTACAAATGACTCTTAATTTCCTATTCCCTTTAAAAATCTAGCATGAAAAATTTTCTTATTTGAGTTCTGTTATTTCAAATGATAATTGGTTGTGACACATGTATTTTGGATATTATCACTCTTTTAGATTGAATTATCTGTCACGAAAAGAATATGTTTCTTATTTGCCTATTATGAATATTTCTAATGGTGTATGTGGACTTGTTAATAGGGCAAGAAGCACAAAGACTAATTCCCAGCTAGAAAGTCTTGGAAAGAATTAGGGCTGAGCAAAGAATTTAGAAGTACAGATCCAAACCATAACCAAAACTAAACTAGTTTTGAAATCCAAATTTTTAATAAATCTAGATATTTAGATTCACTTTAATTTTTTTATCCAGATTTAGATCAAATTTCATTTAATATATCTAAATTTTATTTATCAAAACTGGTTTGTTTTAAAAATAGTAAGTACAGACTATTTATTCATGCATCTTAATAACAAAATCCATGTTATGTTCCATTGCAAAGCGACATCACAGGAGCATTCGACTATACCACACTTTCTCTCCACTCTCTCTAGAGACAGCTATTGGTATAGCTATTTAACAAACTCTTGCAAAACCACAAAGTTTCACTTAAAATTATTTGTTTTACTCTCTTTCTTATTTCTTAAAATATTATTTTAATGCACATAAATAAAAAATATCTTGCTAAAGTCGTAAAAATATATAAATAAAACTATATTTAAATTTAAATTACCATACATTTTAAAATATTAAGAATTCTAATTAATTTTTTTAAATAAATTTTAAAGAAAAGTACATTAATAATATTTCTAATTCATTAAAATATATATTTTTTAAGATAAATTTATAATTGAAAATATAATAAAAAATAATATAAAAATTAAAAAAATTCATTATATAATAATTATACCAATTTAGCATCCAAAGCTAATTTAAATAAAATTATATATTTAAATATAATTTTAAACCAAATTTAAATTTTAAAACCAATTTTAGAAAAAGAAAATAAATTAGTTTAAAATCTACTCCGTATAATTAAATTTAAAATAGACTTGGATTAGTTTTAGGCAAATTCAATCCATGCTCACCCTTAGCAAGAATGTTGCTAGAGATTGTCCATTCAAACTTATGTATAGTTGCAGTGTTGACACATGGTGGTAACTTATAGTTTATTATTTTCATTGATGATTTCAGCATAAAGTTTTGGGTGTATTTTTTTAAATCAGAAGCTTTTAATGCCTTTAAGTCATTTAAGGAATTTATTGAGAAATAAAGTGGCTACAAAATCAAAGCATTGAAAATAGATAAAGGGTGAGAATATCTCATATGTATAGACTTTTTTGAGCAGCATGAAATTCAACATCAACTAATAATTAAATACACATCTAAGCAAAATAAAGTTATAAAAAGAAATAATAGAACAATCATAGACATGGTAAGATGTATATTGAAGGTTAAACAATTGTTTAGAGAATTCTAGAAAATTGTTGCTACTACTATTTATATTTTGAATAGGTGTCTTACTAAGAGGGTTCATGACAAGATAACTAAAACATGATGAGGTATTTATTCTTTATGATTAATATGGTTGGTGATTTTGAAAATGTAGATTATATGGGACCCTTTACTATGGAGTTAATGAATCCTTTGACCTTCGTTTACGCTGAAGGAATCAATGTATAGAGGTCGTGATTTTATTTATATGTTTTTAGATTTTCGAGTGTCACCATGACTATGACATACGTCAATTTTGGATGTTGCTACACATTCCTTGACCCTTATTTCAATCTCACTAATTACATGACCTCACTCTTCGGGGCAAGACTAGAAAAAAATTAGTTAATTAAGTTCAAAGATGTCTTAAACTTGTGGAAGAAAAGATTAGATCGAGTGATGAGTAATAACTTGCAATGTGGTTTATTAAGTTCAATTTTTGAATATATGTGATAGTACATTACTCGTAGGAGAGATTAGATGAACAAGAATGTGGACGTTTTGCATTGCTTGTAAGTTCTCTTTAATCTTTACTAGTGTAGTATCATAATTAATTGCTTTAATGTTAAATGTGCTACTCCATTGCATGGTTATGCACTTGAGTAAGTATGTTACTTGTGTAGTGATAGGTAAGATTCATTTACATTTGATGAGATGAGAAAATTGTGTTAGACAATGCTATCATTACAAAATGAGTAGGAATTTATCTTACAACCTACTTCATCATTTGACCCTTGTTCAAAGGGGACACACCCCCCTATCCAGATATTAATATTGCTTAATCTCGACTACACAAGGAAGGCTAAAACTTGAAAAGTTGCCAAATACACATCTAGACAACAAAATTTTCACTTACCCTGTTGCTCAAATGACGAGATGGCATATATCATGTCCCTTCACAGTTTTCTTTTCACCATTCACACATTATAAAAACGTCCTATTTTCATTTATCACAATTCAGCTCACCCATTCACTTCCAATTCATCTGCTTTTCCTTTTAGTGTTGCACATGATTGTCTCTGAATATTCATGACCTCTTCCATATGAATTATCCTTATTCACATTGAATGCACTAGGTCTAGATTTTCAGCCTCTTAAAAAGACATCGTCAGAGAAATCACAACATTAATCTAAATGAACAATTCAACATTGTTATATATGCAAAAGTGCACGATGTGTGACGCAACCCTCGTAATGAAGTTAGAGATCATTCTCCACAGTGTATCTTCACTTTGTGAGGAAAAACATTAGTAGCTTGTTCAGATTTATATTTTTTTATAGCTATTATTTGTGCTTTTTTTTTTTTTTCACATTATAGGTGACCTATGTTTAATGTATTTATGGACTTTATACTACTTGTATATGAATAGAATACAATAACATTACACGCAGCCCACTGCAAAGACAATACTTTATCCCTTGTTGACACATGGTTCAATCCTAGTCATTTAAATAAGAATTGCCTCCCATAGATGTGATACACTCTACAAAGATGACACATGTCAGTAGCAAAGCAAGTATCGCATCTATCTGCAAGGTGTGATAGTTATTTTTTCAAAAAATAAGTATGGGTGACATGACAAAAAAAAATGCTTTAGACATGAAAATAGTTTGAAAATAATATTAATCTAAGAAATTGTTTTCAAAATACAATTAATTTGGTAAATAAGTCGTGGAAGTGACCTACGGTGTACCATAAAATGGAATTTCAAGTCCCATAACACAACTGTGGGAGTAAAAGAACAGAAAACAAAAGCCATAGATATTAGATCAATTTGTTAGCATCCAGAATAAGTCATAAAGTACACGGATATAACAGCCAACGTGCTTTTTATCTCCAGAAATTGCATCCACATTGCTAGATTATATATTTTATGGAATCCCCATCGTTAAAAATTGATAGGAAAAATGTGCTTTCAAGGCTACAAATAGTAAATAAGGGGGGAGATTAAACCCAAGAAAGAGAAATGAAAGAATCACGAAGGAAAATGAAAAAACTCAGTCATTCCTTCTAGTCAGTTTAAGCAATTTTAGTACATTTTCATAAACAATAAATGTTATTGATGAAGCAGGAGCATTTTTTAAAAGGTTTGCAGTAATTCCTTTATAAAAACCCCGGACACCTTCAAATCTGCAAGAACAGAACAAAATTTATGAAGGACAAAAAAATATTGATTCAATTTGAAAAGATCAAGAGCATATTAATTTGGATATAAGCAAAAGTAACAATATAGTTTATTAGTTCATTGACAGTGTTTAAACCAAGAGTCAACCTATTGTGTTGCCATTTGCCGAGGTATAAGCAATGTGTTAAACCTTTAATTAGAAAAGTATATTTTAGGAAAAGTAAGAGACCCAGGTCAGAAAAAAATAATAACTGACTCTTGTTGGTAATGTGACTGTTGGACCCGTCTAATAAATTGCAAAAGAACAAATTTATGTTATTTTTAAAAAAAATAAAAGTCATGTTGACTGATAGGATAAATCTGTCTTTAGTCCTATCTTTTAAGAATGATTTATTAGTGGTTTCTATCTATCAACAGTTCTGTTTTGGATTTGTTTTATATATACGTTGCTCTACATTTGAATAAAAAATGCCTTCTACTAAGGTACATTTTTCTATTTTGTTTTCTTTTACCCTTTACATTCTATATCAATACAAATAAAAACAACAAATTGGTACCAAAGCTCTTATCTTAGAGGGATATGTGAGTTGAAAGAAACACTAATGGAAGGAGAACTACAATACACAACGGGTCCACCACCAATCTTTGATGGTAAGGCATATAAGTTATGGGCTACAAGAATAATTAGTCATCTTGAAGCGTTGGATCTTTGGGAGGCAGTAGAAGAAAACTATGATGTTCCTGAATTACTTGAAAATCCAACATTGGCCCAGATGAGGTATCACAAAGTAGGAAGACAAAAAAGGCTAAAGCCAAAGATTGCTTTTTCTCTACTGTGTCAAAAATTAGTTTTACAAGAATTACGAATTTCAAGTCTGCTAAAGAGATTTGGGAATATTTCATCTGAATATCAAGGTTGTGAAAGAACCAAAGGCATGCAAATGCTCAACTTGGATAGAGAATTCAAGATGCAAAGCATGAAGGAGACAGAAACAATTAAAGGCTATGTTGATCAGTTGTTAAGCATAGCAAATAAAGTGCGGCTTCTTGGAAAGGACTTTCTTGATGAAAGAATAGTGCAAAAAATTTTGGTTACTATACCTAAAAAGTATGAATCGAAGATATCAGTGTTGGAGAAATCAAAAGACTTGTTAGCCTCACCTTGGGAGAATTGATAAATGTTTTACAATCACAAGAGCAGAATAATGAGACAAGAGGAGGTGGTACAAGGTGCTTTTCATACAAAGGCACAAAACTTAAAACGTGGCAAAGACAAAAACAACAAATTGAAATACAAAAACCAGAAGGCTCCAAGAAGCAGCAAGGTGAGGCTTTTCTTCCTTCTCTGCATCGCAGAAAGAAAAACCATTCTTAGAGAAAATGTTGGTGGAGGCCAGATGTCAAGCATATAAAATGCAGTGATATGGGACATATTGAGCGAATTTGCAAGTCTAAACTACAGGAGGTAAAGGTGATTGCAGAGGAACAAGAAGACGAGCAACTCTTTGTTGCAAGTTGTAACATACTTTGCTACAAGCAACAATTCCAGTGACTTATGGCAAATAGACATCGGCTGCACAAACAATATTACCAACAATTAGAAGCTCTTTAAAGAAATGGATAAAAACATTGTTTCCAAAATAAAAATTGTAAATGGTGATTTCATTTCGGTCAAGGGAAAAGGGATTGTTGCTATTGAAAGTTTAACAATTCTGAAATATATCTTTGATGTTTTTTGTGTCTGATATTGACCAAAATTTGTTGTGTTGCTAAACTTGTAGAGAAGGGCTTCAAAGTCATATCTGAAGACAATTGGTGCTTAATCAAAGATACAAAAGGAAAAGACATATTCAAGGTGAAAATAAGAGCTAGAAGCTATGCTTTAAATCTAATGGAGGAGGAGCAAATAGCTTTTTCAAGCACAACAACCAATGCTGAACTATGACACAAAAGACTTGGACATTTCCACTTTGCTAGACTCTTATAATACATGCAAAAACATGCCTTGAAAGGTGTCTCAATGCTTGAAGACAAATTGGCTGATTGTGTGGCTTGTCAATATGGTAAGCTAGTCAAAAAACCATTTCCTCAATCAACTTAAAGAGTAACTCAAAAGTTGCAGCTGGTACACAGATGTTGGGAGACCGTAGAGAGTATAATCTTTAAATGGTAATAAATACTATATTTCATTTATTGATAATTATGTCAGATATTGTTAGATTTATTTCTTTAAATCCAAGATTGAGGTTGCTAATATTTTGTGGAAATATAAAGCATTAGTGGAGAATCAAAGTGGCTGTAGATTGTAAACAATAAGGTCTGACAATGGGAAAGAATACACAAATGATGTTTTTGATAAATTTTGTGAAGAAGTTGGCATAGAGCACCAACTTATTGTACCTTACACCCCACAACAAAATGGTGGAAGTGAGAAAAAGAATAGAAGCATCATGGAGATGACAAGATGTATGTTGCATGAAAAGGAGTTGCTAAAGAAGCTATGAGCATAGGCTGCAAACATTTTTGTTGAATAGACTTCCAACTAGAGTCATGAACTAAAAAACTCTATTTGCGGTTGGTTTGGCTACAAACCAGATTTACACAATCTAAAAATCTTTGATTGTGTTTGTTTCTCTTATGTTCCACATGCTAAAAGGGCCAGGCTTGATAAGAAGGCAGAACCTGGAGTAGAATTTTTCAACCACAAAATGGAAAAATTCTGGTAAGTAGAGATGTAAAATTCATGGAAGATCAACAATGGAGTTGAGAGGAGCCAACAAGCAAATAGTTGCTAGAAAAACCCCACAATTCTTTGAAGATAATGTTGGTGACATTCTTGTTAGAGGTACAAAATCTTTGTTTGAGATTTATCAAAGGAGTAATGTGGTTGTCTTAAAACCTGCAAATTTTGAAGAAGCCAAGAAGGATGAAAAGGGGATCAATGAAATGAACAAAGAATTGAAGATGATCCAAAAAAATTATTCTTGGGAGCTGGTGGACAGACCTCAACATAAGCAACCTATAGGGGTCAAATGGGTTTATAGAACCAAACTCAATTTAGATGGTTCTATAAATAAATACAAGGCCAAGTTGGTGGTAAAGGGCTATGCTCAAGTGTTTGGAGTGGATTTTTCAAAAACATTAGCTCCAGTTGTACACCTTGATACAATTAGAATGCTACTTGCCTTTGTTGCATATAAAAGGTGGAAAGTTTATCATTTAGATGTACAATTTATTTTACTAAATGGTTACTTGCAAGAGGAGATTGAAGTAGAAAAGCTTGAGGGATTTCAAATAAAAGGAGAGGAGGAGAAAGTTTACAAGTTGAAGAAGGCCTTAAATCCTAGTACAGCAGGATAAATGATTGTCTTCAAGGTTTTGGATTTATCAAAAGTCCAAGTGAAGCTGCATTAATGTGAAACTAGTAGAAGCAAATTTAATCATTATTGCTGTTTATGTTGACGATTTGCTTGTGACAAGTGATGAGAAACTCATAAAGGAGTTTAAAGTTGAAATGTTCAAAGTGTTTAAAATGACAAACTTTAGCTTGATGAGCTACTTTTCGGGAATGGAGGTGAAACGATAGTAGTCAATCCCGGATAGCGGCATGAAGCGACCAACCTCAAAAATGCTATAGCGGGAATAGCGGTAGTAGGATGACAAAACATGCTGAAAAATAAAAAATTAATATACAAATTTGGAACAAAACAAAAAAGGAAAACTCAAATTAGAGAAGGTAAAAAATAACGAACAGCAAACGGTGCAGGAGTAGCCATTGCTTCTACTTGAAGCTTCGAAATTTGAAACAAAACAGAGTAGGGGAATCAAAACAGAGAAGGAAATAAAAAAACAGAGAAGAAAAAAAGGAAAAAAAAAAGCTTCAGTCATCGAAAAATGTGCAGTTGGCCAAAAAATTCACCGGAGATGGAGAAGATGATCGGAAAGTGTTTGGGTGTTGTTGGAAGCTTTGCTGACCTTGAAGAAGACAACAAGAGATGAAGAAAATGACTCAAAATAATTTGGGTCACATTAGAAGTCACCAGAGACGAAGAAGATGACTGGAAAATATCTCTTTCTTGTTAGAAGCCTCCCAGGAGATGAAGGCCACACTCCAGCTGTGGAAACAAAGAGAAAAGAGATGAAATGAAAGGAGAAATGAGAGGAGAGCTGAGGAAAGAGTTGAAAGGTGAGTTGAGGGGCTAGGGTTTGTGAGAGGGAGGGAGAAGATTCAGAAAATAAAAGGGGGCAAAAATCTCAAGATTGTCCCCCCTTAAAAGCCCCCAACGTTAAAAAAACAAAAGACAGATTTGGAATTTTTAGGGAGAACAGCTTAGCGGCCGCTATAGTCGTGATTTCCGGCCACTATTAGCAGGGTGACAGCTGCGACACTGAACCGCAATGCTACAGGGTCACCATAATGGGACTGCACCACTCTGCTCCACCTCGATAACGGCCACTATGACCGCTATTGATAACTATGGGTGAAACAAGATCATGGTGTAATCTTCATTTACCAAAAGGAGTATGCAAGAGAAATACTATAAAGTTTCATATGGAGGACTGCAAAAGCACTACATCTCCAATGAACCAAAAGAAGAAGTTTAGTAAGGATGATATAGCTGATAAAGTTGATACAAAAACATTACAAAAGCTTGATTGGTTGCTTAATGTATTTTACTGCAACCAGACCTAACATTTTATTGTAATAAGTTTATTTTCAAGGTTCATGCATTGTGTTAGTGAAGTAAATTTTCAAGCTGCCCAACGAGTTTTTAGATATATTAAAGGCACTTTAAACTCCAATGAACCAAAAGGAGAAGTTTAGTAAGGATGATAAAGTTGATAAAAGAACATTACAAAAGCTTGATTGGTTGCTTAATGTATCTTACTGCAACCAGACCTAACATTTTATTTGCAGTAAGTTTACTTTTAAGGTTCATGCATTATGTTAGTGAAGTACATTTTCAAGCTGCCCAACAAGTTTTTAGATATATTAAAGGCACTT